TAACTTTTCTTATTTCAATGTGAAATTTTTCAATTTTTGAATTTTTCGATTTTCAACTTTTAGATTTTTTAATTTCTCGTTTCTTCAGTTGTAGATTTTTCAGTTTTTCTTTTCTTGCGAAAAAAAAATGGAAAAATCGCAAAATTGTAAAAGTGAAAAATCAGAAAAAAAACTTTCGAAAATTTAAAAATTGCAAATCAAGAACACGAAAAGAAAAATTGAAAAATCGAAAGTTTAAAAATTAGGAAACAAAAACTGAAAAAGTGCACAATTGAAAGAACGAAATATTGTAAAATCGGTATATTGAAAATTACAGAAACCTGTAAACCGGATAATGGAGAAATCCAAAAATTTTACATCATTGAAAATTTTTTCAGTTTTTCGATTTTACAACTTTTCGATCTTTAAATTTTTCTGTTTTTATTTCTTCAGTTTTTCGATTTGAAATTTTTCGTTTCGGTTTTTTATTTTCTTCATTTTTTCAGTTTTTCGGTGTCTCAAAGTTTTAATATTATGATTTTTCTTATTTTAATGTGAAATTTTTCAATTTTTCGATTTTCAACTTTTACATTTTTCAATTTTATGACTTTGATAGTTGTCCATTTTTCAAATATTGGATATTTAACTTTTTCATTTATTCAATCTCTCAACTTTTCGAGTTGTAATTTTTGAATTTTTCGATCTCTCAATGGCACTGTTTTTCGACTTGACACTTTTTTGATTTTACAATTTTTGGGTTTTCGAATTTGTTTTATTCAATTCGTTTTTTCTTTTTCAATTTTTCTATTAATTAATTCTTTTGGATTTTTAAGTTTCGCTATTTTTCGTTTCTTCAGTTCTTCGATTTTCTACTTTTTCAACTTTGCAATATCTCCGGTTTATCAATTTTTCCCCATTTTTTAGTTTGTTCATATTTCAATTTTTCAACTTTTCGAAAAAAAAAAGGGAAAAATCGCAAAATTGGGAAATTGAATACTCAAAAATTGAAAAAATACAAAATTGAAAGAACGAAATATTGTAAAATCGAAATAGTGAAAATTAAAGAAACCTGAAAACTGGATAATGGAGAAATCCAAAAATTACAATATTGAAAATTTTTCCAGTATTTCGATTTTAGAACTTTTGATGTTTAAATTTTTCAGTTTTTATTTCTTCAATTTTTCGAGTTGAAACTTCGTTTCGGTTTTCCATTTTCTTCATTTTTTGAATTTTTCGGTGTCTCAAAGTCACTTTTTCGATTTGTAATTTTTCGATTATCAACTTTTTCGACTTTACAATATCTCGTTTTATCAATTTTTTTCCGGTTTTTCATTTCTTGATTTTTGAAACTTTCGATTTTTCAGCTTTTTGAAAAAATCGCAAAATTGTAAAATTGAAAAATCGAAAATGAAAACTTTGGAAAGTTTAAAATTGGAAATCGAGAACATGAAAAGAAAAATTGAAAAATCGAAAGTTTGGAAATTGAGAAACTTGAAAAATTGAAAAAGTGCGAAATTGAAAGAACGAAATATTGTAATATTGAAAATTAAAATTGGAGAGATCGAAAAATAGAACATTGAAAAATTTTTCAGTTTTTCGATTTTAGAACTTTTGGATATTTAAATTTGTCAGTTTTTATTTCTTCAATTTTTCGTTTTGGTATTTCATTTTCTTGATTTTTTCAATTTTTCGGTGTCTCAAAGTTTTAAATTCATAATTTTTCTTATTTCAATGTGAATTTTTTCAATTTTTCGATTTTCAACTTTTAGATTTTTTAATTTTTCGTTTCTTCAATTGTAGATTTTTCAGTTTTTCGATTTTCAATAATTCGTTTCTTCAATTTTTTTATTTCCACTTTTTCGAGTTTTCATTTTAAACATGTATACAGTAATGATAGTTTTTAAAAATTTTCACTTTTTCAATTTTACGACTTTGGTAGTTGTCCATTTTCCAAATATTGGATATTGAACTTTTTCATTTATTCAATCTCTCAACTTTTCGAGTCGTAATTTTTGAATTTTTTGATCTCTCAATGGCACTGTTTTTCGACTTGACAATTTTTCGATTTTACAATTTTTGGGTTTTCCAATATTTTTTATTCAATTCGTTTTCTTTCTTTCAATCTTTTGGATTTTTTTGTGTCTCAATTTTTCGTTTCTTCGCTTCTTCCATTTGTGATTTTTTCATTATCTACTTTTTCGACTTTACAATATCTCGTTTTATCAATTTATTTTCCGGTTTTTCATTTCTTGATTTTTGAAATGTTCGATTTTTCAGCTTTTTGAAAAAATCGCAAAATTGTAAAATTAAAAAATCGAAAATGAAAACTTTGGAAAGTTTAAAAATTGGAAATCAAGAACATGAAAAGAAAAAATGAAAAATCATAATTTTTCAGTTATTTCTTTAATTTTTCGATTTGAAATTTTTCGTTTTGGATTTTTATTTGCTTCATTTTTTCAACTTTTCCATTTCTCAAAGTTCTGACTTTTTAATTTTTCTCTTTTTCAATATGAAATTTTTCAATTTTCAACTTAATTTTTTTATTTTTCGTTTCTTCAATTTTTGAATTGCATATTTTTTAGTTGAAAACTTTTGAAAATTTAAAAATCGGAAATCAAGAACATGAAATGAAAAATTGAAAAATCGAAACTTCAAAAATTGAGAAACTTAACAATTGAAATATCGAAAATTAAAAAACCGAAAAACCGAATAATTGAGAAATCCAAAAATTACAACATTGAAAATATGACGAATTGAACAAACGAAAAATTATAAAATCGAAAGAAACATGAAAAAATAAAAGAAACAGAAAACGAAAAATTGTGATATCAAATCGAGAAAAAGAAACTTAAAAAATTGGGAAAATGAGAGAAACGAAAAATTGAAAATTCGAAAGATGAAAAACTGTAATATCGGAAAATTGCAAATCGAAATATTAAAATTGAAAAAACGAAAATTTGTGATATCAAAAAATTGGTCGAAGGTATGAATCCATATTTTTAGAAAAATTATAAGATTTCATTTTGCAAATTTAATTTTTTTTTTTTTTTTTTAATCTACGAGTGCACTTTGACATGCCGTCATCAATTTTTTTGAGAGAGGTAAATAAATAAATTTTGATTAACTATTTAGCATGATCACGATAACTTTAAAACGTTTGCAAAATGTTAGGATTTTTTCTCCAAAAATCTAGATGTCTAGAGTGAAAACTCAAGACGGATTCATAGACCACAAGTGCAGGAGTATCTTATTTTATAAAAATAAAAACAAATTTACTATTGTAAATTTTTGAAATGAGGTCATTTAAATTATAGTTCTAATATACATATAAAATTTGACAACAATTGGTCCAGTAGTTTCGAAGGTTATATGTCATGTCTTCCATTTTTCCATTTGCAATTTTTCGTTTCGGTTTTATTGTTTATTTTTTCAATTTTTTGGTTTTTCAATGTTCTGATTTTATAATTTTTGTTTTACAATTTGTCTATTTCATGTTAAATATGTAATACTCCTAATAACTATGATTCTAATATTATTTGATTTTTTCAATTTTACAATTTTTAATTTTTTGATCTTTAATTTTTATTTTAATTTTAATCTTTTGATGTTACAGGATTTTCACTCCACAATTTTGACGATTCTATAATAATTTTTCCATTTTACAATTTTTGTGTTTTCTGATTTATCAATTAAATTCGTTTTATGTTCTGTAAAGTTTTTCGACTTACTAATTTTTTTCGATAACTTTAAAACGTTTGCAAAATTTGCAAAATGTTTGGATTTTTTCTCCAAAAATCTGGATGTCTAGAGTGAAAACTCAAGACGGATTCATAGACCACAAGTGCAAGAGTATCTTATTTTATAAAAATAAAAACAAATTTACTATTGTAATTTTTTTAAATGAGGTCGTTTAAATCATAGTTCTAATATACATACAAAATTTGACAACAATCGGTCCAGTAGTTTCGAAGATTATATGTCTAATAAAAATCCGGGCAGAGGGGAAGTAAAAAGTAAAAAAGGTAATTATGTAATAAAAATAGTGGTTACAGCTCCTAGAAAACATTAGTTTAATTTTAAGTGGCGAATGACTAGTTATTATTCTTATTATTAACAAATATTTATCCATATAAACCGGCTCTTGAATTATTAGTGTTACACTGTACACAAAAAACGATATATTTATCCCCACTAAAAAAACAATGACATCATTGAAAACATAAAATGTACAGGATCAGTTTCGAAGTTATCGATAATTCAAACTCCAACTTCTATCACAAACATTGAAAAAACGTCCCATCACAAATGCGTCAAAATCGTATTGACTCGTTAATGGAAAAGTCTTATCGCAGCTGATTCGAAACAAAAAATATAAACAAAAATGACCCTCCGGTACTAAAATACCCATGAAACCTCATCTTATGGACTAATCTCCATAAACCTCCGAAAATAGCTCCCGCAATAATAGAACGAACGCTCATTTTCCGAATCTCGGTTGGCCTAGACAATGGCAAAACAATCCCCACGTGACCCGTCACCGCCAACCGTGCCACCACACTCTTATCTCTTCTCCTTAACATCACAACAACTTCTCGAACCTCAGCGATAAACTAATTAAACATCACCCGACATCGTCGATCCTATTTCCAGCATCCCGTTGCACTTTCGCTCGCATTAGCCATAATGGCAGGCGGGAATTCGGCGAAAAAACAGCGCCGCGCTAAGGTCAGCTGGGCCTTTAACGGCTAATGTATACAGAAAGCAAGGTTATTGTTGTAATATCTCGACGAAACGCCATCAAACAGCACTCCCTCCGATTAAATAAACAAGTCGAGCCCTCCGGATCCCATCGCTTCGAAGACTAAACAAACATGGCGGTTTTAACCCCCCGGAGCGGTGTCGGGGGTGTTTGGCGCGTCTTCGCCAAAACTTGGCGAAAGGCGGGCGCGTCGCGGCGATCGAGGCGGCGCGGGGGCGGCTGTCGCCCCCGGGGGGCTCGTCGGGGGCAGGGGATGACTTACCGATTTTTGTTGATGGTTTCGGAGCGCGTTTCGGCGGGTTCCCACTGGCACGAACGGCACTGACGCACTGGGGTTTTAAGCGACTCGCCGACGTCACGGTGGTTTGTTAGGGTTTTACTCGTCGGAAATTAAATAACTAATGCTATGGAATACGACGGGTTATCTACATAAACATAACTGTGCGCTGATATGGACAGCTAATTGTCAACTGAACTGACGTTTGAGTTTAGTCACGTGATGTAATGAAGGGATTTGTTTGGACGGGCGGTTGGACGGATGGAGGCGACGAAAGCTTGTAGCATTACCGGATAGATGGCGCAACGACGGGAAACGTCAAACCACGATCTGTAATAATTTGAACTACAGAGTTCTATTTTATGGCAATTTTCAGGTATTACTCCATTATAAATTAAGCTAAAATATCATCAAATTATGTTAATTAATTAAGGCACAAAAATTTAGTAGGACGTAAAATTTCAAAACACATTTTTAAAAGAACGATCTTTTGACATACTTATACACATTTTAGACGTAGCTGTTTATCTGTTCACATTAACAATTTTAAAAATTATTTAAGCTAGAGTAGTGTTCAGTCTGGTTATTGAATTATAAAATAAGCATTTAAATAAGCCATACAAATTTTAATGGAATTTCCACGTTGTTATTCTGTAGTCGGTCTAAAACCTATGCACTTTCATGGCTCCTGTGTATAATGGGTTGCAGAAACACATAGATTTTAATTTTTAAACTGTGATTTTATATAAACATTTCATAAGTATTCTTCATTTTGATGCTTGATATAACCTGTATGCATATGATTTTGAATTGGACTACGAATTTGACATCTAAGCTTAATTGTGTTTGCAGATTTTTCTGATTTGTCAACACTACTTCTGTATGCATATGATTTTGAATTGGACTACGAATTTGACATCTAAGCTTAATTGTGTTTGCAGATTTTTCTGATTTGTCAACACTACTTCTATAAAATTTAAAAGTGGTTCCCAGGAAAACGTGCTTTGAGCGTATTCTAGCGGACAAAAATGACTACATTTGAAACAAATTGTATATCTGAAATTTTTGCTGGGTAAATAGTATCTAAATAACCTGTATTCCTCGAGTTTTCAATTTACAGTTTTTGAGTTTCCTTTAATTATTCATTTCTTCGAATTTGGATTTGCAAGTTTATGTTCCGATTTTTTATTTTCTTCATTTTTACAATTTAATTCAATTCAATTTAATTTACGATGTTTAATTACAATAATGCTTTAATAAGATTATTTGTGGAGTTATGCCAAAACTGTTTACTAGTTATTATGCATCAGTGATTATTATTAATTTGTGGATTTTTCAATGCTACGATTTTACATTTTCTGTATTTCCAATTTCAATTTTTTCAACTTTTCGTTTCTTCAATTTATCGATTTGCAATTTTTCAAGCTTTGTTTTTTGTTTCTTCATTTTACGATATGCAATTCTTCCAATTTTCATTTATAAATTTTTCAGTTTTTAGATTTTCCCACTTTTGGATGTTTCAATTTTTAAATTTTACAATTCCTCGATTTGCAATTTCACCAGTTTTCCATTTAATTTTTCAATTTTTCGCGTTGTCAGTATTTCATGTCTTCCATTTTTACTTTTGCAATTTTTAGTTTCGGTTTTTTTTGTTTACTTTTTTCAATTTTTTGGTTTTTCAATGTTCTGATTTTATAATTTTTGTTTTACAATTTGTCTATTTTATTTTAAAAATGTGATACTCCTAATAACTATGATTTTAATATTGTTTGATTTTTTCAATTTTACAATTTTAAATTTTTTGATCTTTAACTTTTTAGTTACTCGATATTAAATTTTTATTTTTTTTTAATCTTTTGATGTTACAGGATTTTCACTCTACAATTTTGACGATTCTATAATTTTTCCATTTTACAATTTTTGTGTTTTCTGATTTATCAATTAGATTCGTTTTATGTTCTGTAAAGTTTTTCGAATTACTCATTTTTTTTCGATTTTTGAGTTTCTCGTTTTTTCAGTTCTTCAATTTCTAGTCGTAATGTTTAGTTTTTCAATGTTTCAATTTTTTGATATTTCAAGTTTTTGAATGAAAAAAATGCAAAAACTGCAAAACCGTAAAATTGAAGAAACAAAAAATTATAAAATCGAAAGAAACAGTGAAAAAATGAAGGAAAATAAAGAATAAAAAATGAAAAACAGTGTCATCGAAAAATTGCAAAATTTGGTAGTAGAAAATTTGAAAAAATTAAAGCTAAAAAACGAAAAACTATGAAACCGAAGCCTTGAAAAACGAAAAAAAAAAAGGAGAATGAAAGAAAATCAATAAAACAAAATGTGATATCAAAAACATGTAAATTCTAAGAAAAAGAACATGAAATTTTGTTTTGTTTAACCTTTTTTTATGTTTTTTGGGCGTTTTTTGACCCTTTTTTTAATAATTTAATTTTTCACGGATTTCCATATCTTTTATTATTCGCATTTTTCTTTTTTTACTTTTTTTGTCAGTTTTTTTGTTTTTTGTTGCTTATAATGGCATTTTCTTTATTGCTTTTTTTCTAGTAGTCATTTTTTTAACGTCTCTTTTCTAATACTTTTTTTGCCGTATTTCTTGGCACTTCTTCTGATTTTTTTTTGCCACCTTTTCTGTTCCTTTTTTGCGCATTTTGTCTTTTTTTGTAGAAATTTTTACGAATAATTTGTTTTTTTTTTTCATGTTTTTTTTTCGCATTTTAGGGCCTTTATTGGTCGTATTCTTTTTTAAAAGTCCATTTTTGTGTCTTTTTCGCCTTTGTCGTCCCCTTTTTTGTCACTTATTATTATCTTTTTCTTAATTGCTTATTCCTAGTCGCCGATTCTCCAACACTTTTTAATCGTCTTTTTGTGGCGTTCTTGTAGTATTTTTTCGTCGCTTTTATGAGAACATTTTTTTTCTTCCTTTTTTTATGCATTTTTGTCGCCTTTTTTGAAGTCCCTTTTTTATCGCTGTTTTTTTATTGTCTTCTATTATTTATTTTGTTAACGTTTTACATTTTATTGTCTTTTTTGTCGCCCATTTTTGTCTTTTTTTTTTACAATTTACTTTCTCCTAGTCCCCAATTTTCCAAGGGTTTTTTATTTATCTTTTTAGTCCCTGTTTTTGTTCTCCTTTTTTTGGTTTTTATTTGTCCGTTTTTTCGTTTGTTAAATCCGTTTTTTCTCGCTTTTTACTTCCTGAACGTAAACTAAGCAAGATTAGTAACCGAGTCCATTGAACTTCTTGCCACTTTCATGTTTTCTCGACATTTCATTACCTCTAGAGTAGGAAAAAAGTGGTCTCCCGTTTCCGTCTGTCTGTCGTCTATCCATCGTTTGTCTGTCTGTCTATCTGACTCTGTCGCTCATTATCAAATTTTGCATGTATATTAAGTGGTAAAACCCTAACAAAAATTTCAATAATCATCCCCACCACCAATGAAGTTTTTAATTTCATGAATAAGATACACCTGCGGTCGATGAATCCATATTCAGTTTTTAATTAATGTAACTGCCTTCTAAAATATTATTCAATAAGTAAATTCTGAAGAATTTCTGCTATAGAATATTTTGATTTGCCACAGTATTTTTGAGAATATTAATGTTTCAACTTGTGTTAGTGCAACTAAAGAAATTCATAAAATAAATTTATTTCATGCAACCAAGAATACACTTGAACCTAATATTTAACCGAAATTTTCGGTGGGTACAATTTGTCAAAGCACTAAATCATTTTAAAATGGTTATCGAATGACAGATTTCTAAAAGTTAGAATGAAGAATCAGAAAAATAAGTAAATACGTATTTCAAACACAACGATTTACTGGTTGGATAACATTTTGTCAGATGATTGTACTGGTTGTTCTTTAACCTGTTTTTTGTTAAAAAATGTCATTCTAAAATGAAAAAAAAATTCTAACTATGCAACCAACACTACACTTAATTGTTAATTGATAAATCATTAAAATGGTATATTGTAATTATGTAGTAAGTCAAGGTTACCTTATAGTGATAATCAAAATTATCACCTCGGCAGTAAATAAATTCTTAAAGACCTTTTCAGGATATTCAAATTTTGTGCCTTTTGTGTAATGAACAATAATGAAACAGGAAAAGGTTTACCCGTACAAAATCCATTTGGTACAAGAGCTAAACGAAGATGATTTTGATCGTAGAGTTGAATTTATCGAAATTATTATGAACAGCGTGTTTGATGGTAACGGAGCAACATTTTCGAAAGAATCGGTACAAAATGCGAATTTTTGAAAATTTCTAAAAATTTCGATAACTCTACGGTCGATTCCGGAAAAACGGTTGCAATTATCAAAGAAACGAAGCCGGAATTGAGTTCCATAGCTCGAAATCTACAAGAAAATGTATTTAGTTAAGTTTCGAAAATGTCAAAAATTGGCCGATATTTGAAGAAGGGGGGACCATTGGAAAAATTTCACTTTTAAAAAAGTTGTCTAAAAATTGTGAAAAAATTCAGGGACGTAGATCTCGACGTGCTGATTCCAAAATAATAGGATGTTAATGGTCACGGAGCAACATGTTCGAAAAATCACTACGAAATGAGAATTTTTGAAAATTTCCAAAAGTGTCGATACTTCAACGGTCGATTCCAGAAAAACGGTTACAGTTATCAAAGAAACGAAGTCGGAAGTGAGTTCCACGGCTCGAAATCTACAAGAAAATGTATTTAGTTAAGTTTCGAAAATGTCAAAAATTGGCCGAAATTTGAAGAAGGGGGGACCATTGGAAAAATTTCACTTTTAAGAAAGTCGTCTAAAAATTGTGAAACAATACAGGGACGTAGATCTCGACGTGCTGATTCCAAAAATATAGGATGTTGATGGTCCCGGAGCAACATTTTCGAAAGAATCACTACGAAATGCGAATTTTTGAAAATTTCTAAAAATTTCGATATTTCAACGGTTGACTCCGGAAAAACGGTTGCAGTTATGAAAGAAACGAAGCCGGAAGTGAGCTCCACAGCTCGAAATCCACAAGAAAATATATTTAGTTAAGTTTCGAAAATGTCAAAAATTGGCCGAAATTTGAAGAAGGGGGGACCATTGGAAAAATTTCACTTTTAAGAAAGTCGTCTAAAAATTGTGAAAAAATTCAGGAACGTAGACCTCGACGTGCTGATTCCAAAATTATAGGGTTTTCATGGTCACGGAGCAATATTTTCGAAAGAATCACTACGAAACGCGAATTTTTGAAATATTCCAAAAATTTCAACATTTCAACGGTCGATTCCGGAAAAACGGTTGCAGTTATGAGAGAAACGGAGCCGGAAGTGAGTTCCACAGCTCGAAATCTACAAGAAAATGTATTTAGTTAAGTTTCGAAAATGTCAAAAATTGGCCGATATTTGAAGAAGGGGGGACCATTGGAAAAATTTCACTTTTAAAAAAGTTGTCTAAAAATTGTGAAAAAATTCAGGGACGTAGATCTCGACGTGCTGATTCCAAAATAATAGGATGTTGATGGTCACGGAGCAACATTTTCGAAAGAATCACTACGAAATGTGAATTTTTGAAAATTTCAAAAAATTTCGATATTTCAACGGTCGATTCCGGAAAAGCCGTTGCAGTTATCAAAGAAACGAAGCCGGAAGTGAGTTACACAGCTCGAAATCTACAAGAAAATGTATTTAGTAAAGTTTAGAAAATGTCAAAAATTGGCCGAAATTTGAAGAAGGGGGGACCATTGGAAAATTTTCACTTTTAAGAAAGTCGTTTAAAAATTGTGAAAAAATTCAGGGACGTAGATCTCGACGTGCTGATTTCAAAAATATAGGATGTTGATGGTCACGGAGCAACATTTTCGAAAGAATCACTACGAAATGCGAATTTTTGAAAATTTCCAAAAAATTCGATATTTCAACGGTCGATTCCGGAAAAACCGTTGCAGTTATCAAAGAAACGAAGCCGAAAGTGAGTTCCACAGCTCGAAATCTACAAGAAAATGTATTTAGTTAAGTTTCGAAAATGTCAAAAATTGGCCGAAATTTGAAGAAGGGGGGACCATTGGAAAAATTTCACTTTTAAGAAAGTCGTCTAAAAATTGTGAAAAAATTCAGGGACGTAGATATCGACATGCTGATTCCAAAAATATAGGATGTTTATGGTCACGGAGCAACATTTTCGAAAGAATTACCGCGAAACACGAATTTTTGAAATATTCCAAAAATTTCGATGTTTCAACTGTCGATTCCGGAAAAACGGTTGCGGTTATGAGAGAAACGGAGCCGGAAGTGTGTTCCACAGCTCGAAATCTACGAGAAAATGTATTTAGGTAAGTTTCGAAAATGTCAAAATTTGGCCGAAATTGGAAGAAGGGGGGACCATTGGAAAAATTTCACTTTTGAGAAAGTCGTCTAAAAATTGTGAAAAAATTCAGGAACGTAGATCTCGACGTGCTGATTCCAAAAATATAGGGTATTAGTGGTTACGGAGCAACATTTTCGAAATAATCACTAAGAAATGCAAATTTTTGAAAATTTCCAAAAATTTCGATATTTCAACGGTCGATTCCGGAAAAACCGTTGCAGTTATCAAAAAACGAAGCCGGAAGTGAGTTCCACATCTCGAAATCTACAAGAAAATGTATTTAGTTAAGTTTCGAAAATGTCAAAAATTGACCGAAATTTGAAGAAGGGGGGAAAATTGGAAAAATTTCACTTTTAAGAAAGTCGTCTAAAAATTGTGAAAAAATTCAGGGACGTAGATCTCGACGTGGTGATTCCAAAAATATAGGATGTTGATGGTCACGGAGCAACATTTTCGAAAGAATCACTTCGAAACGCGAATTTTTGAAAATTTCGAAAAAATTCGATATTTCAACTATCGATTCCGGAAAAGCCGTTGCAGTTGTCAAAGAAACGAAGCCGGAATTGAGTTCCACAGCTCGAAATCTACAAGAAAATGTATTTAGTTAAATTTCGAAAATGTCAAAAATTGGCCGAAATTTGAAGAAGGGGGAACCATTGGAAAAATTTCACTTTTAAGAAAGTTTTCTAAAAATTGTCAAAAAATTCAGGGACGTAGATCTCGACGTGCTGATTCCAAAAATATGGGATGTTGATGGTCACGGAGCAACATTTTCGAAAGAATCACCTACGAAATGCGAATTTTTGAAAATTTCCAAAAGTGTCGATACTTCAACAGTCGATTCCGGAAAAACCGTTGCAGTTATCAAAGAAACGAAGCCGGAAGTGAGTTCCACAGCTCGAAATCTACGAGAAAATGTATTAAGTTAAGTTTCGAAAATATCAAAATTTGGCCGAAATATGAAGAAGGGGGGACCATTGGAAAAATTTCACTTTTATAATAGTTGTCTAAAAATTGTGAAAAAATTCATGGACGTAGATCTCGACGTGCTGATTGTAAAAATATAGGGTGTCGATGGTCACGGAGCAACATTTTCGAAAGAAACACTACGAAATGTGAATTTTTGAAAATTTCCAAAAATTTCGATATTTCAACGGTCGATTCCGGAAAAACCGTTGCAGTTATCAAAGAAACGAAGCCGAAAGTGAGTTCCACAGCTCGAAATCTACAAGAAAATGTGTTTAGTTAAGTTTCGAAAATGTCAAAAATTGGACGAAATTTGAAGAAGGGGGGACCATTGGAAAAATTTTACATTTAAGAAAGTCGTCTAAAAATTGTGAAAAAATTCATGGACGTAGATCTCGACGTGCTGATTGTAAAAATATAGGATGTTGATGGTCACGGAGCAACATTTTCGAAAGAATCACTACGAAACGCGCATTTTTGATAATTTCCAAAAATTTCGATATTCCAACGGTCGATTCCGGAAAAACCGTTGCAGTTATTAAAGAAACGAAGCCGGAATTGAGTTTCACAGCTCGAAATCTACAAGAAAATTTATTTAGTTAAGTTTCGAAAATGTCAAAAATTGGCCGAAATTTGAAGAAGGGGGGACCATTGGAAAAATTTCACTTTTAAGAAAGTCGTCTAAAAATTGTGAAAAAATTCAGGGACGTAGATATCGACGTGCTGATTCCAAAAATATAGGATGTTGATGGTCACGGAGCAACATTTTCGAAAGAATCACCACGAAACGCGCATTTTTGATAATTTCCAAAAATTTCGATATTTCAACGGTCGATTCCGGAAAAACCGTTGCAGTTATTAAAGAAACGAAGCCGGAATTGAGTTTCACAGCTCGAAATCTACAAGAAAATTTATTTAGTTAAGTTTCGAAAATGTCAAAAATTGGCCGAAATTTGAAGAAGGGGGGACAATTGGAAAATTTTCACTTTTAAGAAAGTCGTCTAAAAATTGTGAAAAAATTCAGGGACGTAGATCTCGACGTGCTGATTCCATAAATATAGGTTATTGATGGTCACGGAGCAACATTTTCCAAAGAATCACTACGAAATGCGAATTTTTGAATATTTCCAAAAATTTCGATATTTCAACGGTCGATTCCGGAAAAACCGTTGCAGTTATCAAAGAAACGAAGCCGGAAGTGAGTTCCACAGCTCGAAATCTACAAGAAAATGTATTTAGTTAAGTTTCGAAAATGCCAAAAATTGGCCGAAATTTGAAGAAGGGGGGACCATTGGAAAAATTTCACTTTTAAAAAAGTTGTCTAAAAATTGTGAAAAAATTCGGGAACGTAGATCTCGACGTGCTGATTCCAAAAATATAAGATGTTGAAGGTCACGGAGCAAGATTTTCGATAAAATCACTACGAAATGCGAATTTTTGAAAATTTCCAAAAATTTCGATATTTCAACGGTCGATTCCGGAAAAACCGTGCAGTTATCAAAGAAACGAAGCGAGAATTGAGTTCCACAGCTCTAAATCTACAAGAAAATGTATTTAGTTAAGTTTCGAAAATGTCAAAAATTGGCCGAAATTTGAAGAAGGGGGGACCATTGGAAAAATTTCACTTTTAAGAAAGTCCTCTAAAAATTGTGAAAAAATTCAGGGACGTAGGTAGATCTCGACGTGCTGATTCCAAAAATATAGGATGTTGATGGTCACGGAGCAACATTTTCGAAAGAATCACTACGAAACGCGAATTTTTGAAAATTTCCAAAAATTTCGATATTTCAACGGTCGATTCCGGAAAAACCGTGCAGTTATCAAAGAAACGAAGCGAGAATTGAGTTCCACAGCTCGAAATCTACAAGAAAATGTATTTAGTTACGTTTCGAAATTGTCAAAAATTGGCCGAAATTTGAAGAAGTGGGAAAATTTCACTTTTAAGAAAATGTTCTAAAAATTGTGAAAAAATTCAGGGACGTAGATCTCGACGTGCTGATTCCAAAAATGTAGGATGTTGATAGTCGTGGAGCAACATTTTAGAAAAAATCACTACGAAATGCGAATTTTTGTAAATTTCTAAAAATTTCGATATTTCAACGGTCGATTTTGGAAAAACAAATTGCTAATCCCAACACGCCTTTTCTCCAGTTAATTCGGATTATCGAGGTTCTACTGAACATTGAATATTTCGCGAAAGAGGAAGAAAGAAAGAGGCGAATCAAGGGAAAATCCATGAATTTTAATACAACTGTAATCGCGTTGGGTAAATCCCATCTGAATCTTCGACTCCTCTATCCCAGCGTAAAATCCACATGTAAACCAAACCAACTGGTTGTCCTTCGGCACGCTATATCTTCGCCGAAATCACAGCCCGAAACATAATATTCTGCTTTGAACAGTTAACCGGCTTGCAGTTCGTTGTCCCACGTCCATGAATGTACTCACTGTCCACTGTCGACTATCTCAAGCAAGGAATTTATTTCACAATATGTGTGCCGTCCCAGTTCTTGTAGTGTGAGTGATGATGAACCTGGAAAACCCAATTCAGCCGACAGAAGTCGGAAAAGCATAATTTTAATTCAGTGGTGTTGTATTGTGCAAGCTTAAATGTTCCCTGCTGTGTCCAGTTTTTCGCTTCTTTGTTTAGCGTCGTTGTTGTATTCTAGTCATGTAAAATCGGAAAACGTCACCGTCGACTATTTTCTTACATTAATAAACTCAAGACAGACATCATGGAAAGCTGGAAAACACTTCGTAGGAAATTTTACCGTGAAGACGCTCACTCGTTCAAATGTGCGAATCTTCCTGCGACGTGAATCGTATGTTCCGGACAAACCCTGCAACCTGGAAGATGTCCAGATTCCAGAAAGCTTTGATGCTAGGACGCACTGGCCGGAATGTAGCGACGTTATTGGGAGGGTAGAGAATCAGGGACAGTGCGAAGCTTGCTGGGTGAGTCAAAATAATTAAATGAAATATATAAACCAATTGATAACTATAAAAATTTGTAGGCTTTTGCTGCAACGAGTGTCATGTCAGACAGACTGTGCATTAAAACAAATGGAAGAGTTAAATTTCAATTTTCTCCACAAGATCTTGTGTCGTGTTGTTCCTACTGTGACAGCGGGTGTACTGTTGGGGTGTCGTCAAAGGCCTGGCATTATTATGCAAACCATGGAATTGTTTCTGGAGGAGGCTTCAATTCTTTCCAGGTAAAGGCAAAAACTCGAAAGTACTTTTTTTAATGTTACCTTTTAGTTTAAAGTGGTTGTCTGTTTGTCGATTTTTATTACACAAGTAATATCCGAAATTATCGAACCGGTTGTTGCCAAATTTTGTATGTTAGAAGTATTATGTAGATAGTAAAATGCTGACCAAATTTTATAATAATAAATGTTATTGTCACAGTCACACACCTCAGTCGTGACATTATTTAAACTATATGAAGTAACGTATTCCTCCATTTGTAGTTTGTGAATCTGAGTTTTTAGTTTAGGTAGCCAAATTTTGGAAAAAAAAATCAAAATTGTGAAGCATTTTTTAACAATTTTTCAATTTCTCAATTTTTAGATTTTTCTGCTTTTCGATTTCTTAATTTTGATATATTTCTGGTTTGTCCCTAAGTTTTCCATTTCCCGATTAACCGATTTTTCAATTTTTCGATTTTCCAGTTTTTCAATTTCTTGGTTTCTTGATTTTTCAATATTTGTTTTGGAAATTTTTAATATCTCAATAATTCATTTTTTTGGTTTTTCGATTTTTCGACTTGCCGATTTTTGGATTTTTTCGAGAATTCGGTTTGGTAATGTTTCAATTTCTCAATTTCTCGTTTTTTTTGATTTATCAGTTTTTCGTTTTTTATACGTTTTTCGATTTTACGATTTTTTGATATTTCGATTTCTCGATTTTAAAATTTTGTAATATGTCAATGTTTCGATTTTTCAAATTTTCGATTTCTCGCATCTCGGTTTTTCGATTTTTAAAGTTTTTGAATTTTTTAATTCCTCGATTTTTCAGGTTTTTGATGGCTCAACTCTTCAACATTTCAATTTTGGAAAATTTTCAATTCCTACATTTTTCAGTTTTTCGATTGTTCAATTTTTCAATTCTCGATTTCTCGATTTACCGAGATTTCAGTTTTACGAGTTTTCGAAAGTTCAATTTCGCAGTCTTTCGACTTTTCAGTTTTTTGATTTTCGATTTTTCGAGATCTCAATTTTTCCATTTCTCGATTTCACGATATTTTCATATTCCAGTTTTTCGTTTTTTCTTTTTTGATATTTCGATTTCTTGATTTCTCAATCTTTCGATTCCTCTGTGTTTCCATATTTTAATTATTCGACTTCTTTAATTTTAGATTTTTCGATTTTTCATCATCTCGGTTTTACATTTTTTCAATTTTTAGGTTTATCGGGATTTCAACGTTTCGATTTTTTGATATTTCGATTTTCTCGATTTTTAAAATTTTTAATACATATGTCAATATTTCAATTTTTCGAATTTTCGATTTGTCGCATCTCGGTTTTTCGATTTTTAAAGTTTTTGCGAATTTAGTTTTTCAACTTTTAGATTTTTCCATTTTCCATTTTTCCAATTTTTCAATTTTTCGATTTTTAAAACGTGTCGACATTCCAATATTTCAGTTTTGTGATTTTTTAATTTTGGCGTTCCTAAGTTTTCAGTTTTTCGATTTTTCGATTTCTCAATTTTTAGAGTTTTTCTGATTTTTCCATTTCTTGATCTCTCGACTATTCGGTGTTCGATTTCTCGACTAAAGTTTTCGTTTTTCATTTCCTTAATTTTTCGATTTTCCAATTTTTCGGTTTCTCGATTTCTTAGGTTTCAGTTTTTAAAATTTTTTGATTTTTTCAAAATTTTATATTTTTCGAATTTTTAGTTTATCGATGTCAGTATTTCGTTATTTCATTTGAGGTTTTTTAAGATTTCGTTTTATTAAATTTTAGATTTTTCGATTTTAAATTATTCAGTTTTTGTGTTTTTCATATTTCTTGATCTTTCGACTTTTCGACGTCTCGCTCTTGGGCATTTCAAAATTTTGAATTTTAATATTTTTCATTTTCAATTTTTCAGTTTTTAGCTCTTTCAATTTTTCAGTTTTTCGATTTTTCAATTTCTCAATTTCTCGTTTTTTTGATTCCTCAGTTTTTCGGTTTTTTTTTACATTTTTCGATTTTACGAATTTTTCATAATTCGATTTCTCGCATCTCGATTTTTCGATTTTTAAAATTTATGAATTTTTCAATTCTTCGATTTCTCGACTTACCGAGATTTCAATTTTTCGATTTTTTGTGTTTTGTCTTTTTGATGTTTCGATTTATTGATTTTTCAATCTTTCGTCTCTTCAATGTTTCAATATTTTAATTTTTCGATTTTTTTGAACGTTAGATTTTTTGATTCCTCGATTTTTCAATTATTCGATTTTTGTATTTTTCAGTATTTCTAATTTTAAATTTTTTGATGTTTCGCTGTCGCGCTTTTTCAATTTTTCAACGTCTCGGTTTTAGATTTTTTCAATTTTTGGATCGTTCAATTTTTCGGTTTTGCAATTTGTTGAATTTTCGAATTATTAATTGTTTTAAATTTAAAATTTTTCAATTTCTCTATTAACTTTCACGATCTTTTCACGTTCCAGTTTTTCATTTTCTTGAGAAATTGATTTTTCGATTTTCCAATTTCATTGTTTCGATTTTTCACTTTAGGGATGTTTTAATTTCTCGATTTCTCGTGTTGAGATAAGATAAGAGTTCTTGCTTTATCAGTTTTTAGGTTTTTAATTTTTCGATTTCTTAAATTTTATATTTTTAATTTTTCAATTATTCGATTTTTTATGTTTCCATTTTCAGATTTTTAAATTTTAATTAGTCAGTTATTTGATTTTTCAAATTTTCACCATTTCGATTTTGGAAAATTTTCAATTTCGTCTTTTCGGTTTTCGATTCTTCGGTTGGTCAATTTTTCAATTTTTCATTTTTCCAAATTTTCAATTTTTCAATTTTGAAAATGTGATTTCTAGTTTGTCGAACTTTCAACGTTTCATTTTTTGATTTTTCAGTTTTTTATTCAATTTTTTGATTTTTCAATTTCTCGAATTTTCAATTCTTCAATTTCACGATTTTCAGATATTTCAGTTTTTCGATTTTTAGATTTCTCGATTTTTCGATTCATCGATTTTTCTCATTTTTCCATTTCTGGAGATCTCAATTTCTAAATTTTCAATTTTTCGGTTTCTCGATTTCTCAGGGTTTAATTTTTTGATTTTTTTCAAAATTTTCGATTTTATCAATATTTCGTTATTTCATTTGGAGTTATTCAATATTACGATTTTTTACATTGTAAATTTTTCGATTTCAAGTGATTCAGTTTTTCGATTTTTTGATGTTTCGATTTCTCGATTTTTCGATCTTTCAATCCTTCAATTTTTTTTTTATATTTCAGTATTTCGATTTTTTAAATTTTTATGTTTTGATGTTTCTTGACCTTTCGACTTTTCAACGTCTCGCCTTCAGGCATTTCAAATTTTTGATTTTTAATATTATTTATTTTCCGATTTTTCAATTTTTCAGTTTTTCAATTATTCATTTTTCGATTTTGGCTATTTCAGTTATTTTTGGAATTCTCGATTTTTCGTTTTGTCAATCTTTTAATGCTTCGATTTCTCGATGTTTCAGTTTTTCAAATTTTTAAATTTTTTGATATTTCCATGTCACGATTTTTCAATTTTTCAACGTCTCGGTTTTGGATTTTTTCAATTTTTCAGTTTTGAATTGTTCGATTTTTCAATATTGCGATTTCTGGACCTACCCAGATTTCAGTGTTACGATTTTTTGGGAGTTTAATTTCGCAATTTTCCGATTTTTAATTTTTTTGAATTTTCTAATTTATTATTAATGAATTATAAATTTTTTCAATTTTTCCATTAACTTACCAAATTATCGATTTTTCGAGATCTAAATTTTTCCATTTCTCGATTTCACGATCTTTTCATGTTCCAGTTTTACATTTTCTCGAAAAATCGATTTTTCGATTTTCCAATTTTTCGATGTTCCGAATTTCCACTTTGGGGATGTTTTATTTTCTCGATTTCTCGTGTTAAGATAGGGTAAGAATTTTTGATTTATCAGTTCTTCTGTTTTTAATTTTTCGATTTCTTAAATTTTCATTTTCAATTTTTCAATTATTCGATTTTTTGATATTTCCATTTTCAGGTTTTCAAATTTTAATTTTTCGATTTTTCGATTTCCCGATTTTTCAAGTTATCGATTGCTCAATTTTTCACCATTTTAGTTATGTAAAATTTACAATTTCGGGATTTTTCATTTTTTCGATTTTTTAAATTTTAGATTTTTTGACTTTTCGATTGCCCAGTTCGATTTTTCGGTTACTCAATTTTTCGATTTTTAAATTTTTTGCGAATTTAGTTTTTCAACTTTTAGAATTTTCATTTTCCATTTTTCCAATTTTCCAGTTTTTCAATTTTTCGATTTTTAAGGTGTGATTTCTAAATTGTCGACATTACGATGTTTCACTTTTTCGATATTTCAGTTTTTTAGTTTTTTTCTTTTAATTTGTTGATTGTTCAATTTCTCCAATTTTCAATTTTTCAATTTCTCGATTTTCAGAAATTTCAAGTATGTGATTTTTCAATTTTTGGCGTTCCTAAGTTTTCAGTTTATCCATTTTTCGATTTCTCGGCTGTTCGGTGTTCGAATTTTCGACTTCTCGATTTTTAAATTTTTAGTTTTTCATTTCATTAATTTTTCGGTTTCTTGATTTCTCAGGCTTTTGATATTTTTAACTTTTTGATTTTTTCAAAATTTTCGATTTTTCAAATCTTTAGTTTATGGATGTCAATATTTCGTTATTTCATTTGAGGTTTTTTAAAATTTCGATTAAATAATTTGTAGATTTTTCGATTTTAAATGATTCACTTGTTCTGTTTTTTGATGTTTCTGGATCTGACTTTTCGACGTCTCGCTTTTGGGTATTTAAAATTTTTGAATTTTAAAATTTTTCATTTTCCGATTTTCAGTTTTTTAGTTTTTAGCTTTCAATTTTTCAGTTTTTCGATTTTTCAATTTCTCAATTTCTCGTCCTTTTGATTTCTCAGTTTTCCGTTTTTTTTTACATTTTCCGATTTTACGAATTTTTGATATTCTATTTCCCAATTTTTAAATTTTTAAATACGCCAATGTTTCGATTTTTCGAATTTTCGATTTCTCACATCTCTATTTTTCGATTTTTAAAAATTTTTGAATTTTTCAATTCTTCGATTTCTCGACTTGCCGAGATTTCAAGTTTTCGTTTTTTCGATTTTTTGTTTTTTTTTTTATGTTTCGATTTATTGATTTTTCAAACTTTCGATTCTTCAATTTTTCGATTTTTTTAAAACTTTAGATTTTTCAATTTCTAGAATTTTCAATTTTCCATTTTTGTATTTGTCAATTTTTCAAATTTTTAAATTTTTTCATGTTTCGATGTCACTATTTTTCAATTTTTCAACGTCTCGGTTTTAGATTTCTTCAATTTCTCCGCTTTTGGTTTGTTCAATTTTGTTCAATTTTTCAATTTTTTGAATTTTCGAATTATTAATTGTTTTAAATTTGAAAATTTTCAATTTCTCTATTAACTTATCGAATTTTTGATTTTTCGAGATCTCAATTTTTCTATTTCATGATCTTTTCATTTTCTCGAGAAATCGATTTTTTTTTATTCTTTGATGTTTCGATTTTTCACTTTGGGGATGTTTTAATTTCTCGATTTTCGTGAGTTTTTGATTTGTCAGTTTTTCGGTTTTTAATTCTTCGATGTCTTACATTTTACATTTTCAATTTTTCAGTTATTCGATTTTACGATTTTTTGATGTTTCCACTTTCAGATTTTTCAATTTCTCGCATCTCAGTTTTAGACTTTTAAAATTTTTCGATTTTTTGATTTCTCGACATTTCGATTTTCCAATTTTTCAAGTTTTCACCATTTCAATTTTGGAAAATTTTCAATTTCTGGATTTTTGAATTTTTTAAATTTTAGATTTTTTGACTTTCTGATTGCTCAAACTTCTTATTTTTCGTCTTTTCGGATTTCGATTTTTCATTTGCTCAATTTTTCGATTTTAAAGTTTTTTGCGAACTTAGTTTTTCAACTTTTAGATTTTTCGATTTCTCGTTTTTCCAATTTTTCATTTTTTCCATTTTTAAAATGTGATTTCTAGATTGCCGACATTTCGATGTTTAACTTTTTCGATATTTCAGTTTTAGAATTTTTCAGTTTTTTGATCGAATTTTCAATTTTTCATTTTCTCGATGTTTAGATACTTTAGTTTTGTGATTTTTCAATTTATGGCGTTTCTAAGTTTTCAGTTTTTCGATTTTCCGACTTTTCGATTTATCGATTTTTCTAATTTTCCATTTTTCGATTTCTCGACTGTTTCGTGTTCGAATTCTCGACTTCACAATTTCTAAATTTTCAGTTTTTCATTTCTTTAATCTCTTGATTTTTCAATTTTTCGGTTTCTCGATTTTTCAGGTTTTAGATTTTTAAAATTTTTTGATTTTTTAAAAATTTTCGATTTTTCGATTTTTTTTTAAACTTTAGAATTTTCGATTTCTCGAATTTTCGCATATTCCATTTTTGTATTTGTCAATTTTTCAAATTTTTAAATTTTTTCACGTTTCGATCTCACAATTTTTCAATTTTTCAACGTCTCAGTTTTAGATTTCTTCAATTTTTCAGCTTTTGGATTGTTCAATTTTTCGATTTTTTCATTTTTCGAATTTTTGAATTATTAATTGTTTTAATTTTGAAAATTTTCAATTTCTCTATTAATTTATGTAATTTTTGATTTTTCGAGATCTCAATTTTCCATTTCTCGATTTCACGATCTTTTCATGTTCCAGTTTTTCATTTTCTCGAGAAATTGTTTTTTTTTTTATTTTTTGATGTTTCGGTTTTTCACTTTGAGGCTGTTTTAATTTCCCTATTTCTCATGAGTTTTTGATTTATCAGTTTTTCGGTTTTTAATTTTTCGATTTCTTAAATTTTACATTTTCAATTTTTCAGTTATTCGATTTTACGTTTTTTTTATGTTTCCACTTTTAGATTTCTCGACTTTTCGATTTCCCGATTTTTCAAGTTTTCACCATTTCAATTTTGGAAAATTTTCAATTTTTGGATTTTTAGATTTTTTAAATTTTAGATTTTTTGACCTTTCGATTGCCCAAACTTCTTATTTTTCGTCTTTTCGGATTTCGATTTTTCGTTTGCTCAATTTTTCGATTTTAAAATTTTTTGCGAATTTAGTTTTTCAACTTTTAGATTTTTCGATTTTCCGTTTTTACAATATTTCATTTTTTAGATTTTTAAAATGTGATTTCTAGATTGTCGACATTCCGATGTTTAACATTTTCGATATTTCAGTTTTAGAATTTTTCAGTTTTTTGATCGAATTTTCAATTTTTCATTTTCTCGATTTTTATATACTTTAGTTTTGTGATTTTTCAATTTTTGGCGTTTCTAAGTTTTCAGTTTTTCGATTTTTCGACCTTTCGATTTATTGATTTTTCTGATTTTTCCATTTCTCGTTTTTTCGACTGTTCGCTGTTCGAATTCTCGACTTCTCAGTTTCTAAATTTTCAGTTTTTCATTTCTTTAATTTTTTGATTTTCCAATTTTTCGGTTTCTCGATTTCTCAGGTTTTCGATTTTTTAAACTTTTTGATTTTTTCAAAATTTTCGATTTTTCGAATTTTTAGTTTATCGCTGTATTTCATTATCACGATCTTTTGATTCCTCAATATTCCATGTTTTAATTTTTCTCGATTTTTTGATGTTTCCATTATCAGATTTTTAAATTTTAATTTTTCAATTTTTTGATTCTTCGATTTCTCGCATCTCAGTGTTCGATTTCTCGACTTTTCGAATTCCCGATTTTTCAAGTTTTCACCATTTCAATTTTGAAAAGTTTTCAACTTCTGGATTTTTAAATTTTTCGATTTTTAAAATTTTAGATTTTTTGACTTTTGCTCAAACTGCCTATTTTTCGTCTTTTCGGATTTCGATTTTTCGTTTACTGAATTTTTCGATTTTTCGATTTTAAAATTTTTTGCGAATTTAGATTTTCAACTTTTAAATTTTTCGATTTTCCGTTTTTCCAATTTTTCAATTTTTCGATTTTTAAGATGTGATTGCTAGATTGTCGACGTTACGATGTTTCACTTTTTCGATATTTCAGTTTTAGGATTTTTTAGTTTTTTAATCCAATTTTTTAATAGTTCAATTTCTCCAATTTTCAATTTTTCAATTTCTCGATTTTCAGAAATTCCAGTTTTGTGATTTTTCAATTTTTGGATTTCTCGATTTCTCGATTTCTCGGGAGTTCGGGTACAAAATTTTTAGTTTTTCATTTCTTTAATTTTTCGGTTTTTCAATTTTTCGGTTTCTCGATGTCTCAGGTTTTGATTTTTTCAAAATTTTCGATTTTTCGAATTTTTAGTCGATGGGGCAATATTTCGTTGTTTCATTTAAGGTTTTTAATATTTCGATTTTTTTTTAATTCTTGATTTTTCAACGTCTCACTTTTAGGCATTTAAAATTTTTGATTTTTAAAATTTTTCATTTTCCGACTTTGCAGTTTTTTAGTTTTTAGCACTTTCCATTTTTCAGTTTTTCGATTTTTGAATTTTTCGGTTTTTGAATTTTTCAATTATTCATCTTTTGATTTTGGGTATTTCAGTTACTAGATTTTCCGAATTCTCGACTTTTCCGTTTGTCTATCTTTTAATGCTTCGATTTCTCGATGTTTCACTTTTTCAATTTCTCGGTTTTTCGATTTTTCGACAAACTTTTGGCTTTTTGATTTGCCAAGTTTTCGAAGTATCGATTTTTCAATTTTTCGGTTTTTCAAACTTCCTCTTTTTTGATGTTTCGATTTCCCAATTTTCAAATTTTTTAGTACATATTCCATTTTCGATTTAGAGAATTTTCTTTCTGACAACTCGGTTTTTCGATTTTTAAAATTTTCCAACTTTTCGATTATTCGATTTCTCAATTTTTCAAGTTTTCAGTCTCACAATTTTGCAACATTTCAATTTTGGGAATTTTTCAATTTCTTGATTTTTCAATTTTTCAATATTTAAAAAAAAGAAAAATTTCTAAATTTAAAACTTCTATTTTTACCGAATGCTTTGAAATCTTGCAGATGGTTTACAGTTATTATAAGCGTGATAAATTTTTAATCAAAATATATTTACTTATCCCCTCCAAAAAATTGATGACGTCAGCTCAAAAGTTCGCCGAATAAATCCTATCTAAAATTTATAAAATATGACGAGTCTGTACTTTTTTGCATATACAGGGTGACTCAAAAAATTAATGAATTTATTTATTCCAGGGATGCAAACCGTACCAAGAATCAGAATTCATGCAGAGCAAGAAGACAGAATGTAACAAGAGGTGTGACAACCCATCCTACGACGTGCCCTACGCTGACGACAAACATTTCGGATCCGAGTACTACATGGTAAACAAAACACCAGAATGTATCCAAAAGGAAATTCTGGAAAATGGTCCCGTCCAAGTGACAATGGGACTCTACGAAGACTTTGCATTCTACAAACAAGGTTTTTATTGCAACACAAAATATACTCGTCTGATATTTACATACTTATAAAACTTTTAGGTGTATACTTTTACACTGTCGGGAAGAGAAGAGGCTTACATTCTGTGAAAATTGTGGGTTGGGGGGTGGAAAACGGGATTCGTTATTGGCTGGCAGCAAACAGTTGGGGATGTCAGTGGGGGAATTTAAACGGATTTTTCAAAATTACGAGAGGGGTAGATGAGTGTGCCATCGAACAGCATGTTATAGCTGGACTTCCACAAGTTCCAAAACTTCCAAAACTTGATGGTTATGTCAGGACTACTGTTAAATCGGAGTTTTCCACTAGCAAAAATTTTGTATGGCCAGTAATATTGGGGGTGTCTGCATGTTTAGTAATAATAACATTGTTAAGTATAGTATTTCATGACAGGATAAAAAATCTAGTCCCAAAATATTTTCGATTTAGCTGACAATGAGTTATTAAGTGTGATTATACTATAAGTAAATTATATTAAGTTATTACTACTTATAATGCCATATGTACACTGTACAATGTGCCTTAAGAATTATTTAAATAAATTCAACAATTTTTTATAATTTTGTCTTGTGATTTCTGTGTTTTAAATTTATTAATAAAGAAATTAGTATTAAAATATTACAAAATTAAATAGTTAAGTTAGTTAATAAATATTATTATTATTATTAAAATTATTATAATACATATATGTATAACTTCCTTCGTCTTTTAAGCCCAACCAGTACACAATTATACAATTTTTTTGTTATTTTTGTTTTTATGGGGAAAAAATCCATAAAAATATAAATCAAAATATCGAGAAGTTGAAAAATAGTAAAATTCGAATAAAAAGTCCAAAAACTGAAAAATGTAAAATTTAAGAACTCGAAAAATAAAACAATCGAAAAAATGGAAAATCGAAACAATGAAAAATCGAGATTTTGAAAAATTCTCAGACTGAATTTCTAAAAAATTGAAAAATCTAAAAGTTGAAACATCGAGAAATCGAAACATGAAAAGATCGAGAAATCGGAAAATGAGTTATTAAATCGAAAAATTAATTATTGAAAAATTGAGAACTTTGAAATTAAAAAAATTGATAACTAAAAATTTTAAAAAACAAAAAAAATGAAAAACTGAAACAAATTATTATAAATCGGTACTCCGAAATATTAAAAAATCCCAAAACTGAGATCGAAAATTTGAGCAATTGATAAGAGAGAGAAAAATCTAAAATTTAAAAATCTATGGATTGGAAAATCCCAAAACTGTCACATCAAAAAATTGATAAATCGATTAATTGAGAAATTGAAAATTCGAGAGCTGGAGAAATGAAAAAATAAAAATCGATGAATCGAAAAGTCGAAAAATCGTAAAACTTAGGAACGTCAAAAATCCAAAAAAAGAATAAAAATAATGAAAAATCCAAAAATTGAAAATTGAGCAATTTGAAAAATTTCAAAATTTACAAAAAGAAAAATCGAAAAATTAAAATATAGTAAAATTAAAGAACCGAAAGACTGAAAAATCGAAAATTTTAGACATTGAAGAATTGAAAAATCCAAAATCTGAGAATTCGAAAAATTGAAAAATAGGAAAATCGGAAATTATGAAGTGAAAAACCGAAAAATAGAGAAGTCGAGGAAACGAAAAATTAATAATTGAAAAATTGCGAACTTTCAAATTAAAAAATTGATAAATTAAAAAATCGGAAAATCAAGAAATTGAATAATCGAATAATCGACACATCGAAATCTCGACAAATCGAGAAGTTGAAAAAATGAAAAATCAAAACACTGAAAAATTGAAAAATCAAAAAACCGAAAACTTGAAAAATCGAATACATAATAAAAAAATGAAAAAAAAAAATGAAAAATCTAAAACGAAACAACGAAAAAATTGAAAAATTTAAAATCGGTAAATTTAATATAACCAAAAATTTAAAAAAAAATCGAGAAATTGAAAAATGCAACGTTTGAGAAATTCGAGAAATCCAGAAAACAAACATCGAAAAGTCGGGAAAACGAGAAATGGGAAAATAAAAATCCATGAATCGAAAGGTCGAAAAATCGAAACTTAGGAACGCCAAAAATTGAAGAAAGAGTAAAAAAATTGAAAATCGAGAAATTTGAAAAAAAAAGAAAAATCAAAAATTTAAAAAAATCAATAAATTGAAAAACCAAGAACCTAGAAAATCGAAAAAAAGGAAAATTGGAACGTCGAAAAATGTAAATGTAGAAATTTGAAAATTTTCAAAACCGAGAAATTGAAAAATCGAAAAATCAAAAAAATTCAAAATGGACAAAAAAAAATTGAAAAATGTAAAATTCAAAAATTCGAAAAATTGATAAACCAAAGAACTGAAAATTCTAGAAATCGAAACACCTAAAATTTAAAAGATCGAAAATTAAAATATAGAAAAATTGGAGAACCGAAAGACCGAAAAATGGGGAAATCGAAACATCAAAAATCTTAAATCGAAAAATCTAGAATATAAAAAATCAAAATTTTGGAAAATCTCAAAACTGACATCAAAAAATTCATATATCGATAAATCGAAAAATTGAAAAATTTGGAAATCGAAAAATTAATGAATTGAAAAACCGAAAAATCGAGAAGGCGAGAAAACGACCATCGAAAAATCAAAAACTGAGGCACGCCAAAAATCAAAAAAAAAAAACAAAAACTTGAAAAATCGAAAAATTACAAGAAATTTCAAAAATTTCAAATTCAACAAGCAGAAAAATTTGAATATTAAAAACTCAGAAAATCGAAAAATTGAAGTATACTAAAATGGAAGAATGGAAAGTCTGAAAAATCGAGAAATCGAAATTTTGAAAAATTGAAAAATCCGAAGTCAGAAATAGAAAAATTTTAAAATAGGAAAATGGAAAATTGATAAATGAAAAATTGAGAACTTTAAAATTAAAAAACTGAAAAACCGAAAAATAAAAAATTTTAAATATCAAAAAATTGGAAACGAGGCATCATAAATTTGAAAAATCTAAAATTTAAAAATTCGAAAAATTGAGAAATCGAAAAATCGAAGAACTAAAAATTAGAGAAATCATTGATAAATCGATAAATCGGAAGATTGAAAATTGAAAATTGCCAAGACTGAGAAATCGAAGTCGATACAGCGAAATCTGAGAAATCGAAAAATTAATGAAATGCAAAACTGAAAAATCGAAAAGTCGGGAAAACAAACATCGAAAAGTCAAAAAATGGAGAAACAGGAAATCAAAAATTAACGAAATGACAAACCGAAAAATCGAAAAATTAATAATTGAAAAATTGAAAACTTTAAAATTAAAAAATAAAAAATAAATCGAAAAATCTGAAAATCGGAAAATTGAACACACTGAAATCTTGACAAATCGACAAGTTGAAAAATTGAAAAGTTGAAAAAGAAAAAATTGTAGAACTTAGAAAAATTGAAAAATCGAACAGGTACACAATCAAACATTAAAAAAAAAACAAAAAAGTGAAAAATCTAATTCTGAGACGTCGAAAGATCGAGAAATCGAAATAACAGGAAATTGAAAAATTTTAAATCGATAAATCTAAAATTTAAAAAATGGAAAAACTGGAAACTCCTAAACTGAAATATCGCAAAAATTGATAAATCGGTACTTCGAAAAATTGAAAAATTCCAAAACTGAGATTGAAAAATTGTGTAATCGAGAAACTGAAAAGTCGAAAAATAAAAAAATAAGAAAATTGAAAAATCAAAAACCTGGAAAATCTAAAAATTGGAAAACTGAAATATTGGAAAATGAAACGTCGACAAATAAAAATCAAGAAATTTGAAACTTTTCAAAATCGAGAAATTGAAAAATCGAAAAATCAAATAATTGAAAAGGAAACAAAAAAAACTGAAAACTGGAGAACCCACATCAAAATTCATAAATCGAAAAATCGAAAAATTGAAAATTCCCAGGACTGATCGAAAAATTGAGAAATCGAGAAATTAATGAAAAGAAAAACCGAAAAATCGAGAAGGCAAGAAAACAAACATCGAAAAATCAAAAACTTAGGAACGCCAAAAATAAAAAAAAATGAATGAAAAACTTGAAAAATTCAAAAATTAAAGTCTGTGAAGTAGAAAAATTAAAACATAGGAAAATCGAAAATTAATGAAGTGAAAAACTGAAAAATCGAAAAGTCGAGAAAACGAAAAATTAATAATTTAATAATTGAAAATATTAAAATTAAAAATGACTGAAAAATCGAAAAATCCAAAAATTGGAAACGAAACATCAAAAATTGAAAAATCTAAAATTTAACAATTCGAAAAATTGAGAAATAGAAAAATCGAAGAACTAAAAATTCGAAAAATCATTGATAAATCGATAAATCGAAAGATCAAAGAATGAAAATGCCCAAGACAGAGAAATCGAAGTCGATACAGCTAAAATTTAAAAAGTCGAGAAAAAAATTAATGAAATGCATAACCCAAAAATTGAAAAGTAGAGAAAACGGAAAATTACAAACGCCAAAAATCGAAAAAAGAACCACAAAATTTAAAATCGGAAAATTAAAATTTGTAAAAATCAGAAAAATTGGAAAATCCATAACCGAGACGTCAAAAAATCGAAAGATCGAGCAAGCGAAACCACAAAATATTGAAGAACATAAAATTTAAAATCGGAAAAATTGACAAATCGAGAGATTAAAATATCAAAAAATCGAAAAAGTGAAAAATTTAAAGTCGAAAATTCAAATACAGAAAAAATTAAACATTGAAAAATTCCATAATTCAGATTGAAAAATTGAGAAATCGAGAAATTGAAATGTCGAAAAATCAATAATTTAAAAAATTGAAAAATTGAAAAATCAAAAACCTGGAAAATCGGAACATGAGAAAACTGTAATAAGGGAAAATTGAAACGTGGGAAAGTTGAAATCGAGGAATTTGAAAATTTTCAAAATCGAAAAATCGAAGAAACAAAAATTTTAAAAATCAAAATATTGAAAATGAAACATTAAAAAATTGGAAAATTTAAAATTTAAAAATTCGAAAAATTGGAAATCGAAGAACTGAAAATTCGAGAAATTGAAAAATTTAAAATTTAAAAAATCGAAAAATTAAAATATAGAAAAATTGGGGAACCAAAAGACTGAAAAATCGAGAAATCGAAACATTACAAAAATTTTAAATTAAAAAATCTAATATTTAAAATATCGAAATACGTTTGTATTAAAAAATCCCAAAGTAAACATATCAAAAAACTGATAAACCGATAAATCGAAAAATCGAAAAATTGTAAATTCCCAAGTCTGTGACTCAAAAATTCCGAAATCGAGAAATCGAAGTCGAAATCCAAAGTCTGAGAAATCGAAAAATTGAAAAATTAGAAAGTCGAAAAATTAATGAAATGAAAAACCGGAAAATTGAAAATCGACAAATTTGACACATCTCTAAACAAAAAATTTTCAAAATCAAAAAAATTGATAAATCCATAATGGAGACGTGGAAAAATAAAAAAATCGAGAAATCGAAAATAACCACAAAAAATTGAAAAATTGAAAATTAAAAAATCGTGGAAAAATCGAAGAAC